GCTTCCTTCCCCATAGATGTACATGGGCCTTAAGGAACAAGTCCACAGGTTGCCCCCATTTTTCAGAGTGCTCCCATTAGCTGCCAGCACAGCCTTCTCAGCCAGCTTTTTGCTATAGGGGTATGAAGCCGTCCATGTAGTTTCATGATGCTCTTCCTCATGGCCATTCTGGACAATCTCCTTGTAGGAGTTGGGTCCAGCTACCGCCATTGAGCTGGTGTAGATGAAGAATGGCACACTAGCTTGGATGCAGGCATCCAACAGGAGCTGGGTACCTGTCCATGGGGAATAAATTGTCAGTGTCAGAAAATAAGTCACTATGGCCATTGATTCACATGAACCTCTATCTGCTATCACAATAGAGCGGTTTACTCCTGATCCAACTGTATTTTTCCCTGTCCTAAATTCACAGCTGCAATACTAAGGCCTTGGGGAAAATTGCAGAAAAGATTCTGACATTTGTGATGTATAATGAATAATTTCTTGCCTTTCAGGTTTATAGATCTGTCTTTTCCTATATGTGTGTATCTATGCATGTTTTGCATGTGTGTGTGTGTGTGTGTGTCTGTGTTTTGATTTCAGAAATGAGCATAGGATTTCCAGTTAATATTTTGCCATGTGGCTATTAACATATTGCCATTTGTACTGGGATTATTATTCTGTGGTAGAGTGCTTGTTTAGCATGCTCTGGGCCCTGGGTTTGATTCCAAGAACTTCCAAGAAAATTGGTCAATCAGTCAGCCAATGTTTTTCATGCATATCATTTCATTAAAGAAAAGACCTTGAAATCTAAAAACTCCAGAGCTCATACCGTCAAGGATGGTTGGAATTTTACATTATATAAGCTCATGCATGGTTGTTTATAGAGGGCATGCACTGTTAAATAGATATTACTGTGCTGCCATTTTTCACATTTGCTGAGGATTAAAAAAAAAAAAAACAAACTTGGTAACCAGGACATTGTTTGGGTCACTGAACAACCGTTATCGAGTTGTGGGGAAGTACTAGTGACCCAGCTTCTATTCCTGACAGTGTGTTCCCTCAAAACCCACTCCAAAGTTTTCTATCACTCTGCCTAGTTATGAGCAGTAGCAGTGATAATCATTCCCTTCACTTAGCTTTCTTTAGTGTCAGACTGGACTTTACTACTGAGCTTCTTTGAAACCAAAAGAAAGAATGAGCCTTCTGCTGGGAAGACCTATAATGTTGGCATTGTGTGAAATCCCTGTAGCAGAATAGACCTACAAGTCCTGGAGGTGATGCAGAGTTTCTTGCCTTAAGAAGAAATACTGTATTTGTGTAGTGTTTTATTTATTCTCCCCTTTAAGGTGTAATTTGATTTTCTGGAGAAAGAGCCAAATTTGTTACAAAAATCAATACATATATTAGAGAAAATGTTAACCAGCAGGAAACATCGACATTATATTTCTTTATTTGTGCCTCCAGCACAAATTGTTGAAATAGAAGCAGAGAGTAGATAGGAGTACTAATGAAACTCAGGTTAAGTCATGGAAATTCCTACCTTGTGGGTGGTCAGCATATGGCTATGTAAGAAATAGCCAGTGGCATTCTTCTAATGATTTGGGGACTCAAAAGTACCTTTTGGTAGCTTTGGGAAAGGAGTCTCTGAGTCACTAAATGTGGACTTCAAGGCATGGAAGACAAAGAAGCCAGGGCTTGGATTTCACTGGTGTGGTAATTACTGTCCTCTGAGGCTCAGCATAGCAGGTTTCCCTAAGCTAATGTGCCTAATTTGAAGAATTAAAAGGCAGAAATTTAGAACGTGTCACCTAGAATTTGGTAATGAGGATCTGTGGAAGAGTTACCTTGTATCTGAGTAGGACCTGCCTCACAATGGTGGGCTCAATAAGCTCAAGAAGTAGTATTATGGACAATGGAAAATGATAATTGCTTAAATATATCATGGGTTGGGGAGTGCTGGGCCACTCTGTCTAAGCAGACCTTTGTGGGCCAGCTTTGCCAGTATTCTGGAGAAGAATCCTTCCCTGAGGTGGCTAGGAGGGATCGGGATGTTCTCAACAGTCCTGATTGAAGAGCTGAAGCATGAAGGAGGAGGCACTTTCAAGGTCTCTTCTGGCCCAGGCAGGCAGGGGGTGGATGAATCTCAGGAATTTGGAGTAAGTGACTTCGAGACCATGAAATAGAGAATGATGCTTTCCTGTTTGCTCCATGGTGAGAAACAAAAGAAAGCAGATAGGCAGCTTCTCAGCAAGGTGGGTGAACAAAATAAAGGAGTGAGTGCTTTACTGGAACTTAATACTGGCCATTCAAAGCAGATCAGGAACTCAGGAGGTTGGATATAATAAAATAAGGAAGAAATCCCCCGGCACCATCCAGAATGGTCCCTTTGAGAACAAAGTGGAAGGATCAGGGAATTAAGGGAAGCTGCATTTTTAGATGTCCTGAAGCATGTCTGGGAAGAGAGTTTACAGATCAAAGACACTGCCCAACTAAACTGAAAGGCATGATGAACAATAACCTTGTATGGGAAAAAAGCCACATCTCTCCTGGCTGTGTGTGGAGGACAGAAGAAGGATACATTTTGCAGCCACAGCTCAGAGACGTGCACAGAGGGAACCAATTCCTGGCAAACTGGAGTTTGTCCCAAAACACGGGCTAGAAAATGCACACTGTATGAGACAGAGTATGCCTAAGTGACCAGGAGAAAATCAAACATGGAGAGAGTTTTCCACAATCAGGGGACAACTGGTTGTGGAAACCCACCAGGCTATTCCCCTCTATCTCCAAACTGGTTGCTTGTAGGACCATCTGGGAGAGATGCACCTGGCCAGGAACTCAAAAGGGCAGGGATGAGAGAGATTGAGATTATAGACTGAATCTGAGATCAGGAAATACATGGCCTGCAGGCGAGGTAGTGGAAACCAGAGGAGATCCCTGGGGTGCAGTCTTCCAGCATGGATCCCCAATTGCTGGGCCCTGGAGGTGTTCTGATTTAAAATCTTCAGACCAATTGACATTCGGCTAAGAACGTGGAGCATACCTAAGCCTAAACCCTGCATTCAGGAGTTCTGCCTAGGGAATTAACTCTCTTACTCCAGCAACCTCCATCCTGAAGGTAAAGCAGGTATAACATCCAGATGATCTTACATAACACTGCAGAGAAGGAAAGCTGAGAGTCATTTGAACTCCAACAAAAAAATTCTTTAACTTTTCATTGAGATTTTTTTCTTCTTTTCTCTGTTCAATTGTGATCTTAATAGTTAATGAACACATACTCATATTTGTTCTTTATCTCATTTCTAGAATTTTTGAAATCAGTAATTTTTCATGGATCAGTATTTTGAGGACTAAAATGTTTGGTTAGTATATTTCAGTTTTCTTTTGAATTCTTTATTTTATTTTTAATTTAAAGAATTTTACCTCGAAAAATA